GTTAGATGAAAGGTGGATGGATGGATGGTGGATGGATGGATGATGGATGGTGGGTGGTGAATAGATGCATGGATAACAGGAATAGAGATAAGTGATTGATTATTGTAATCACCTAAGAATTCATCCCAGCAGAGGGATTTCTCTGGGTGACTTCACACATAGCACAGCCTCAGTGTGTGTGGTGTGGACGTCCTATGTGGGAGCAGTGGCACCGGTGAGGCCTGTATTGGACCAAGCATATTTTCTGATCAGGCAAATATTATCCCACTAAGAGCGTGGAAGAAAATCCTTACCTGGCGGAAAAACATCAAGTTCCCAATGAAAGGAGAAGGCTTGGGATGTCGGATGCCCAACTTCTCCAGCTGTGAGAACGCTGACATGGAGTACCTGAGGAAGGAAGCAAAGTGGAAAATCAAGACATTGGTGTTCATGCTTAAGCTTTACTAGGAACCAGAACTACTGGGTTCTCTAAAAGTGACGCTGGCATCCCTCAGTGGTGCAAATGGCTAATGTACTCAGCTGCAGGCCGGAGGGTTGGTGGTTCAAGTCCACCTACAGACACCTTGGAAGAAAGGCCTGGCAGTATTACTTGCAAACAATCAGCCATTGACAGCCCAGTGTAGTTCTACTCTGACACACGTGGGTTCTCCGTGAGTTAGAGTCAACTTGATGGCAACTGGTTTTTTTGTTTTGTTTTGAAGGATTTAAGAGGGAGAGGCCTAGAGGTGAGCAAGTGAATAGGAACTCAGTCAGTTTCTTCCAATGGAGAGATCAAGGAGCCCAGAGCCTCAGAGCTCCCGTTTGGATCACCAACACCAAGGGTGTGCCAAGTGTGAAGATGGTCTGTGATGAACCCTGTACTGGCTTGAATTTTCATGTGATGACAGTGATCCAGCTCTGATCCCTCATCTTGTCATCCATCTGTCCATCCATCCTTCCTTCCATCCATTCACATATAACCCATACCTTAGACATGAACTAGTCTAACCCCAACCCTAAATTCCCTTCAATCCATTGTTTCTAAAAATGCACTTCTCACCAGTTCTATTCCTTTGCCTCTGAATCTATCAGGAACATTTGTCTTCTAGATAAGGCACATAATGGCAGAGAATAACCCCCCTAGGCAAGGGTGGGTGTTTTCTTGGTCAACACTGACCTATACGTATCACTTGACTCTCCTCACCCGCCGGCCTAACGCCTAACCGGGATGCTTGATGCACTAGAGGGAGCGCCACCATGGAAGTGCGGCCTCTCACCGGCCACTCGCGGTCTTCTCAAGCCTTCAATTTCATGGCCCACAGCCACACGGCAAGCAGGCTTTCTGACCCAGAAATGAGGAAACGTGGTCCAACACATCTCTGCGCCACTTTCTAGGAGAAAGCTGCCGTCTGAGAAGTGCGGGGCTGCTGTCCAAACACTGGAAGCACTAGAATCTTTCCACAGCGATGGGAGCAGGCGGATAACACAGTGGAAGTCAGAACTGGCTCCGAAAATCCTGGCCATATGGCTGCGATCTTCAGTCACTCAGCCAATTGGGTCAAAAGTTCAGTTCGTTCCGCAAAATTAATGAGTCAAACTGGCTGTTTAGCATCATGCAGAGATGGGCCAAGTCTCAATTTTGAGACAAGGAGAAATATAGACTATTACCAGAGTCTGGCATTGTAGAAGTACTGAACTTAAAAAAAAAAAACCCTGCTAGAATATTCTAATATTCCATTAGAAAGACGGAACATGCTGTATTCTTTGACCTCTGTCTTTCCCACCTGCAGCACCCCTCCCCCCAAAGAAAAGCATTTATCATACAACATGTCAGCAAAGACTCAAACCTTTAGGGGAAGGCCAGCCCACTTAAGGGCTGCTTTGGGTTCTTCTGAGCAATGAGTCCATTTGTAAAGTGGCCACAAGGAGAACCAGGCCAGGCCAGAAAGGGAAGGCAGGGCCCCCTCCCCACTCTCCCAACCGAATTTTCAGCTGTATGGCTGCATTATTGGATTTGAAGGAATTCCCAACACATCACGGAAGCCCGTGTTCAAATGTAATCAAAACCACGCTCGGGAGCGCACGTGAGTTACAGATTAGTCATGTCAGCCTTCCTCTTCATAGCGGGTGGGCCAATTGTTGGCATCACAGTTTGTAAGTTCTTAGTTCAAGTGGACTGATACTTTGGCTCCTCCCCTGACACCTGATGGGAGAACCAGAGACGCGCCAGCCCTTTAACACCCCCATCATTTCTGGTCCCTCCGCTCACCCCTTTTGTTTTCTAAATGGAATCTCCAGTGGGCAGAAAGAACTACATAGACCTTGGACCACGTAATTACATCTTAATTTTGTAATTAGCTGTCTTGATTGTCTAATTAAAGGACAAGAAGCCCGTGCCTCATCACACATGCTAATCGTTATGCAAGCCCAGGCCCTAATTATGTAACTCCACTTACAGCTACACTGTGTGTGTCCCTGCACAAAATTCCGACATTTCCAGGCATATGGCACCCACGGGGAGTGTCCTCAACAAAACCTCCAACTTTCCTTTGCTGCTGGACTCAAGCACAGAAGTCACATGTCGTCAGTGGTGAGTTGCCCAAATGGTGCCATCAGCAGAGCTGCCACATCCAAGGCAGCAGGGAGATGTCACCGCCACCAGACCCGGAGGGCAAAACTGGAAAGTGGGCTTAATTTTCCCTGTTCCCACTTCCTTCTCTGTACCCTACTCTCAGGGTACCCGCACCACCTTCTGTCAGTCTCAACAGGCTCTTCAGCTAGAACCTACAGATCCCAGGGGTACCCACAATGACAGGGGTACCCACAATGAGTGCCTGTTGCTTTTGTGGGCTTCTGAGTCCACTCTGACTCGCAGCGACCCATGTGACAGAACTGCCGCATAGGGTTTCTTAGGCTGAAGACATCACAGGGCCAGATTACCAGGTCTTTCTTTTGAGGATCTGCTGGTGGCTTCAAACTGTCAACCTTCCAGTTCACAGCAGAGTGCTTTAACCATTGCACCACCAGGGCTCCATGAATGAGCATTAGAGCCAAGGAAACAAGATATTTTTTAAAAAATTTCCCCCATGTTACTTTTAAAATTGCCATTGTGAAAGAAACCTCCTTTTTTATGTGGCATGCTGTCATTAAGTCCTGTGTCATTCCAGTGCGGTGGCCTAGGATACTCCTGTACAGAACAGGTACGTGCCATCGCCACGCCATCGTCACCACCCTGTGATATTTAGGACAGCTTTCCTTTGACAGGCATTAATGCAAATACACCACAATTGGGATTCTAGACATCTGTCGTTGTTTACATTAAAGCTATTTCAGTTGGAAATGACAACAGAAAGAAGTACAGTGAGCTGGCTGGGGCCTCTTTGGTTTTGCCTTGGTGCCTCAAGGACTCGTTCACTGCAACAGGATACATACTGCACAGCTCAGTTGCGCCTTTGACCTTCTGTTCCCAAAATAAACCGGAGAGTACGGGTCATTTCCCGAGCTGTCGTGTTAGCTGCCCTCGTGCACAACCAGATGACGTGGTGCCCAGCCCTGCGCCGGCCTCACATGACCGTTGTGCACTGGACCGTTGAGGTCCACAGGGCTTCCCCTGACTTTCAGAAGTTGATTCCCAGGCCTTTCTTCCTGGTCTGTCCTAGTTGGGAAGGTCCACTGAATCCTGTTCCATGTCATAGGGACACACGAACTTCCCCTGACAGATGGGTGGTGGTTGGCCATGAGACGTTGTGGCCGGGAACTGAACCCAGGTCTTCAACATGGAAGGTGAAACTTCTACCCCTGAACCCCACTGCCCTCAATTCCCAAGTGAGGGACCATTTTGAAAACCTGGAACTTTCCCCATTTGGGTTTTCCCCAACACAAAGGCCCTCTTTTGAGGCATTCAACAAAGCTGCGTAACCCAGTGTTTATCCAAAGAGCCCACTCACAGTCGATTGGATGTTTCGATGAATCATTAAAGAAATGGTCAAGATGGCTGAGGTTTGCAGCAGCAAGACAGGCGAGTGACAGCCGGGCAGCCAGGACGTCGGTCATCCTTGTTCCTAAGCCTCACAGGACAGCAGTCCCGGGCTTGCCCCTTGGGGACAGTGACTCCTTTCTCACCCATTAAACCCTTGCCATTAAGCAGTCGGCTCTGGCTCTTGGTGTCGTGGTAGAACTACTGCACAGGGTTCCAGTGCTGCTGTTATGGAAGTAGATGACCAGAGCTTTCTTCCACGGCATCTCTGGACTTGAACCTCCAACCTTCCGGTCGGCAGCCGGGCATGCCAATCATTTCCACTGCCCAGGGACCCCGTCCTTGACGTTCCTATCAGCAACTTCCTATTTGGCCCGCTGCTTTTGCCCCTTCCAGAGACTGTTGGCATCTTTGCAACAGTGCAAGAATCCTTTGGCCGAGAGCACTTCTCCCGGGATAAAAATCTTCCTGCTCTGAGGACAGGTGACACCAGGCAGCCCACCTGTCCTGCTCTTTGGGGACAAGGAGCCCCTTGCCAGTGTCTGCAAAGGCTTCACCAGCAGTCCTGTAAGGAGACTTTCCATGTTGAAAGCCTGGTTGGAAATAGGGCCTTAAGTCATTGCCTTTTCCTAAGGTTCTTCAAGAGACCAGAATAGGGAGTGAGGTTTGCTAGCTTTCTGGAAGACAAATCTTGAAATGCTTTACAGAAATGTGGGCAAAACAAGCTGGGACCTTCAGGGAGAGAGGCTACTCTCAGTTCATGCCATTCTTTCTACTTTTTCCTACATATTTTGACATATATTTGAGATCAGACTCTTTCATCTTATACTGTTTTCATTTAACAAGAAACTATTCTCATTAAGAATCCTTTATGAATATTGTTTTTTGATGTCTTAAGGATGCAGGTAACAGAACAGTCGCCATTTCCACCATTGCCACTGGTCCATTTCAGTGACATTTACTGACATTCACTGTGTAGTTCAACCATCCCCATGAACCGTTCCTGAACTGTCCCATCACCCTCGGGCTCCCAAGCATCGTAACTTCCTCCCCTGTGAACATTATTTTTATCGCCGTATAATGAATGATTTTCCTTGAAGTGAAAAGATCATAATGTACTAGCCTGTCTGCCAGCTAACTATTCAGGTGTTTTCAAATTGTTCGCTAATTTCAGTTCTGCTTCTACACCCAGCGTCTCTGTGCAGAAAGCTTTTCCAGATCTGAATCCATGAGTTTTAGACATTGATCCACAATGTCAAACTGCTTTCCAGGAAGTTTGCTCTGCTAGCCCCTCATCGGAGTACGACCTGGCCATTTCACCCCATGCTGTCATGAAGGGTTTTCTGCGTCTGGCAGTCCTCACAGTGCATCTTGATGTGCAATTCTTTCATCATGGGAGAGAAAGCATGTTTTTGCCTTTCCTTCCCCTCCA